TGGATCAGACTGTCTGTCTCCCTATCACTGCTCCCTTCCCCTATAACCCAGGAATCCTCCTTGCAGGCAGCCTCCTCTTTCTTGGCTTCCTCTCTCATTAGGATGGAAAAATCCAAACAAACGATTGTGTGGAAGGTGTATTTTTTTTTGAGAGATTGTGTATTTGGAGATGACATTATTTCTTATCTTAGTGATAATTTGGATATAAACTTCCAAGCTGGCAATTGTTTTCCTACAGAATTTTGAAGATGTTGCTCATTTGTCTTTCGGCTTCTTGCGTTGCTGTGTAGGAATTCATGGCTTCTTGCTCTTGTTTCTTGTCTCTGGCTGACTGTAGGATATCCTCTCTGTCCCCATTCTGAAATTTCTCAGAAATTTGTGCGTTAGTGAGGCTCTGCTTTTATCCATTGTGCTGTGTACTTTTGTGGGGGAGGGAAGTGGAGGTAATTAAGTTTATTTATTTACTTTTTATTTAACGGAGATACTGGGGATTGAACCCATGATGTTGTGCATGCTAAGCATGGACTTTGCCACTGAGCTGTACCCTCCCATTCTGTGCTATTTTGAGAATGTGTATTTCCTTTAGAAATATTCTAGACAATGTTTAGCTGTATTTTTTCAGGCAGTATTCCTCAGTGGCTACTTTCATGGTCATCTCCTGGGTTTTTTTCTAGAGAGGTGTTGGAGCCTCTTAATCTGTCCCTTCAGGTATCTTGTTCTTTCACATTTTATCTCTGTTTCTCTCAGTTGTATTCAAGATGAATTTTTCAGCCTCCTTCCAGTTAACTAACTAAGCGCCTTTCTGATTTTGTGTAAACTAGTGCTTATCTCATCTCTTTCCCTTTCTATTATAATGACTGTGTCTGTCTCTCCAAGATGCCTAAATGGCTTTTCACGTCTATCTGTTCTTACTGTAATTGGTTTCTGTTTCATAATGTCTTGTTCTTCTCAAATGCATATTGATTTCTTCAGTGATTTCTTTGCTATTATCTAAATATATTTACTTCAGAGTTTTTGTTGTATAAAATTAATTCTGGAGTGACTTTTTGTTCTGATTATTTTGTTGGTTGTTTTTCTTTGTATTCGATTTCTTCATGTGTATTGGATTTTGCTGGGGGGTAGGGATGGGGGTGGATGTCCCCACGGCTTGCTCATCTTTGCATCAGGATTTCTTTCATGGCTGCCTGGCTGGGGCTCTCAGTCCCCAGAGTTTGGTGCAGGGGCATTGTCTCCTGGTGTCAAGGCGATGCGTCTGTCTTCCTTCCTCTGGACGCCCCTTCTTCTGTACCTGGAGAGCCCAGGAAGAGCAGTGGGAAGAAGAGGAAGAAATGAATATGCTGTCTCCCAACCTCTGCCGCCAGCTCCCGTCTCAGACCATTTTAGCGCCTTCCCCTCAGCCCTGCCTTGGCTGCTGGTGGCTGTGAGCGCCTGCTTGACTCACACCTCCTGCTGACAGTGGGGTCAGTTCACGTTGCCCAGGAGCTCCTGGCCGTGCTGTTGGATGATGGCGCCCGGAAGTCGGGAGCGCACTTTCTGTCTGTGGATGTGCCTTCCCTGGACGCTCTGTGTAAGCGGGGTCACGTGGTTGGTGACTGCCTGCTGTATAACAGCCTTATCTGGTAGTTACTGAGTTACAAGAGGTCTTTATTCTAGATACAGATTGTCTGTCAGATACATGGTGTGCAAATATTTCCTGAATTCTGTGGGTTATATATTCACTTTCTTGATGTCCTTTGCACAAAAGTTTTTGATTTTGATGAAATCCAGCTTATCTATGTTTTCTTGTTTTTGCTTGTGCTTTTGGTGCCATATCTAAGAAATCAGCATGTAACCCAGTGGCATGAAGGCAGGAGTCTTACAGTTCTTGTATTTAGGTCTGGAATGGTTGTGGAGTTAATTTTTGCATATGGTGTGTGATAGGGGTCTACATTCGTTCTTTAGCATTTGGAGATCCAGTTACCGCGGTTTCACTTTTTAAACGGATTCATTTTTATGACGGAAGTCATCAGTTCAGAACTGGCCTGCAGCAGTATTTCTGGGTTTTTTTCTGTCTCGTTTATAGAACATATTTTTAACCAAAAATGGGGCAGTACAACGTGGAGACTTTGGAATGGCTAGAGTTCTTAATAGTTGATGTCAGTTTTTAACTTCTGTTTGGGATAATGTCTTCAGTGAGATTTTAATCCATGCTTATGAACTTGTGGTAATTTATGACATCTTTAAGTGTCTCAGGCTTCTCCACTGTCTCTCTTTCTGTTGCAGCACTGTGCAGCTGGCTCGAATTTGCGTAGGGACCCCGTACTACTTGTCACCTGAAATCTGTGAAAACAAACCTTATGATAATAACAGATACTTAAAATGATACTCATTACTTGATGTATTTCAAGTCTTTCTCTGTTACACTGTATTTATTAACTTTCAGAATATTATTCTAAAGTCAATATTTCACATGTGTAAACATATATATGTATATATCTACAGATACACTTTTTCTGTATATGAGGGAAATTGTGAAGAAGCTATTTCACTATCTTACTGAAGGAACTATAGAAAGAATTATTATTTAAATTACAATGAGACATAGATTGCTTTCTGTGTCTCTCACTTTGTAATAGTCACCTCCTGTTGAATTATAGTAGTTAGTATTGACTGAACACTGTTAAAAATGCTTTCTGTGTGTTAACTCCTTTTGTGTTCACAGTAACTTTGTGAGTTGTAGGTATTAATCATTCCTCCATTCCTTACGAGGAGACAAACTCAGAGGGAGGGAAAGTAATTGCAGGGTCCCAGGCGTCCGGCCCCCAGGCCTGGATCCCTGCTCGCTGCGGTGTGGGAGGCCCCGGGCAGACGCTGTACTGTGTGTGTCGGGAAGAGGAGCTCAGCCACTGAGCTCCAGTTGCCCTTTATTTTCTCTCACGCACACTGATTTTAAAATCCCAGCCAAGAAAAGTGGTCTTACCTTTGAAAGCACCCACAGAAGCTTAATTGAGGGCAAC